ATCGATGTGGTTTTGGAATGTTGTATCTTGCTCTGTGCTAGCCGACTTCGGGTTGAACTTGGTAGAGGGAGCTTGCAGCGTTCACATAATTTGGTTTGTGAGGTTCCAGTTTGGGAAAGCTCATGGATTCGATATTCAGGTCGCTCTCACATATCGGAGGAGACGCATGTGATCGAGGATTTTGAGTTATCTACCGTTGATGGTCCAATTTCAGACATCCAGTGAAAGGCTTCTAGTGTTTACTTTCTTTCGCAATGCGGCTCCTACTCATTGCAATATCCTTCTTCTCCAGCAACAAATTCGGGAAGAGCAATCAAAATCATCATCGCTTCATGTAACTCCCTAAGCTTCATCACTTTTGTTGAGTGGAGGGACCAAATTCTAGTTATGGTTTATGCTTCCAATGGACCATTACTGATCGATTATAAACCTAAAACATTTTCATCTTTATGGAATATTTACATTCTTAGCAAAAAAAAAAAAATTAAACTAAACAACAACATTTAACAATGCTTAATTAGATCGTGGGTCCCAAGGTGCCACTAGGCATGAGGATGGAGCATTTATGATTGTAAGACCATCTTCATTGGTCATTTAAAAAAACATGAGTGTTTTTTAATATACCATGTAATACCCCGGTCTCAGAAATATGGTGGTGCATGCGGAGAGGTTTAAAAGAATTGATTTGGCCACCTATGTCACAAAAGTGCACTTATCTTTTCGGTCAAACGTCCTGAGAGAACTCTACAGTTAAGCGTGCTTGGGCTGGAGCAATTTCAAGATGGGTGACCTTCCGGGAAGTGATTGTCGGAACTGTGTGAGTGAGGACAAAACACAGGGAAAGATCATGTGGTGATTTGTAGGGTCGGTAAACAAATCTTTAAAGCCTCCCGGACGTAGCGAACCGACCGTCGGAAGATGGTGGGCCCACGGACCGAGAGAGGATGCGGGGGCCCATTAAGAGAGATGGCGGTCGGGGCGTTACATACCACATTTGTAATGTTGAATGACTAATTTGCCCTCCCATGTTTTCAAAGGCTACATCCGAATCGATGCGTCATTCTCCTTTGCAAAGCTTTTTCTTTCCTTCATTTTGTGTGCCCTTCAACTTTACTATTATAATAATCTCCCAAGAGGCAAATAGACGATCTGAACTTGTTCCCGATCTAATTATTACTCATTCGATCTGAACTTGTCTACAATCTAATTCTATTTCTCATTCGATCTGAACTTGTCCCGGATCTAATTCTATTACTTGTTTTACACGGAATGTCCCTAAAATATTTACACGAGTTAGTTTTCACTTTTCTTCAAAACATTTCTACCTTTATCGGGGACAAGTTCTCAAAAAATTCCCCCAAATATTACGTCCAAATATCGGGGACAAGTTCTTCACACGACAACGTAAGAATTCTTCAATTACGTCCACCAACACCATAAACTTTAATCTCTGTTTTTTCCAGATCTGTTTTCTTCCTCTCTCTAAATAATGTTTTACATATATTTTTAATCAATTAAAACATTGATACACGACTCAGTGGTGATTCTTGTATCGGGATAGAAATGGTGGCTTCACAATCTGGCGGTCACTCTCTTTTGTGAAGGATTGATGGTCGATGATGTAGATCTGACGCGATGGCGGTCGCTTTTCTCGTGTGGGATTGAAATAGAGGAAAGTGATGACGGATTGAAGTACACCACAAAGATGTGATTGGTCTCTGATACAGTACATGAACTCAGCCTTGGTGAATCACACACACAAGACAAAGAACATGTTTTTCTCTCAAGAACACTCTAAGAAAAGAAGTAAGAAAATGCGGCTTCTTTATTGATAATCAAGGGTAAAAAATCGTACAACTGCTGCAGGGGGACTTTATAAGAGTCCTACAACTAGCCCTACGGCCGAAATTAAATGCAAAAAACGCAACAAGAAAACAAATAAAAGCAAAACACAAAAACCATTGTTTTTAGAAAGAAAATAAACTAAATAAGGAAACTACTTAAACTCTCTTGAGGAGCACGTTTTGGTGACGAATCTAGCCGTTGTCTGGGCTTATTGGACCTACAAAGATAGTATAAATTGAATAAAACTTATCGGGATGCGTTTTAGGCCCAATAGATGTTCTCTAAGTCACTTCCTGTAGTACTCGTTGACCAACTTCAGGAGTCATGTCTTGTGCTCGTTTGCTTATTGGTTTTTTTGAAGTAGGGGCCTTCATGGAGTTCCTCTTGAGTATCTTGATCAGTGTCTTGGAGCTCTTCCACGTCCTTGGTGTCTTGGTCTTGATCTTGACTCTCTTGATCACTCTCGGAAGTGAAGCTTGTCTCGTACGTCTCCTGCAACTCCAAAGTCTTCTCTTGCCTTCTAGGGGCTTTGGACCTGTCATAGAAGATTTCATACCTTGGGGAGTAGTTCGTTCAAGACTCATTTGGGTAAAAACTTCAGCAAGCTCTTCCTTGACTATTGGATCATATCCGGTTTGGGGTGCTACAGACCAGTTTACTTCCTCCAGCTCTAAGGAGCTTAGAATATCTTGCACAGCTAAGTTGAACTTTTTCTTGAGTTGTTTACACTTTGAACGCGTCATGGGACCTTTTCGGACTTTTGGTACAGGATGTAGCACATGATGTAGTATAGGATGTTGATATATCATGAATTTTACCGTTTTTATAGATATTGTTTTAGAGTCTTTTTGTTATTTCTAGAGTCTTTTCTAGTCTTTTTCAGGTATTTATACGTTCGGGACATATTTGGAGATTATGGATCATTCTGGAGAAAAACCGAGAAGTTATGCTGCGAGAGCAATCCGGAGACCAAAATACGTGTAGGTGTCGGTCGACACCAATATCTGATGGCAATGCAATTTCGAGTCTCTTTGAAGTTATGAATATTTGCAGAATCGACCCAGAACTTTTCCCTATTTTCAAGGAAAATATATATATATATATATATAGATTTTAAGGGTTTTGTTTTAGAGACATCTCTCATATTCTCATTCTATTGTATTCTTGGGAGCTTGAACCATTTGGGAGATAATTGGAGAGAGCTCCTCGAGAGAAGATCTTTCTTAACTCTATTCTCTTCTTTGTTTTCTTAATGCAATTTTATTCAATCATGTTTTTTGTTTCATTCTCCATGTCTGAGTAGTTTGCTTGTTTGGTTTAGAGATTCTCATTAGGGATTTAGATGAATTAGTAGATCGATTACCTGTGAGGATTAATCTTTAGAGTTCTTCACCTTAGGTTGTTCTTAATGCTAGTTCTAGAGTAGCTAACTAGAACTTGATCTTAGGATAATAGGTAGATTCGAGAGGTCATCTATTACTGGAACTATCTTAGGTGGGCAGAGATTTCTAGATTCATACGAGAGGTGGTCTAGGAATATTTGTGAACATATCAAACCTGTTTTTAATGCTAGTCTAGATCTAGCAGTTCGCATTCGAGAGGGTGGAATTACCTGATATTAGATTAGTTAGTCAACGCATTCGAGAGGGTGGTTGGCTATACATTAGTGTTTTGAGTTCTAGAACGATTCGATAATAATTCTAATTAATTTGCTAGATTTACTATTAGTTTATTTCCTTAGAAATCTCTAAGCCTGACGTTTCATCCATCTATTTCACAACCGATTTACTTGTTTTGCATTTATTTAATTTGCAATCTTTACTTGTTTAGCTTAATTCAAAACTTGTTAGTCTATTGTGTGAACACGAGAGCTTTGTGGATTTCAACCCTAAAGTACTGCAATTGATCTCTTATTTGAGAGAGACGTCTTAGGTCTTAATTTGACTCACATCAAATTTGGCGCCGTTGCCGAAGTTCTCTTCGCTTCACCATTAGATTAGATGTAGAATTTAGACTAAACTTTTCTTTTATTTTGTTACTCACGTGTTTTTATTTCTTTGGTTTCTTGAGAGTGACGATAGGCCTCG